GTATATATATATAGTATGTATATATATATATGTAGAGAGAGAGAGAGAGCCACTATATATAGAGAGAGAGAAAGAGAGAGCCACTATATATAGAGAGAGAGAAAGAGAGAGAGCCACTATATATATAGAGAGAGAGAGAGAGAAAGAGAGAGAGAGAGAGCCATAATAGTATATGCAAAGGAAAAGATACACACCACACACAATACACTGGTTATTTATAGAGGAGGCAAATGAACATGGGTAAGTGAATAAAGGGGAAAAAGTAATTAACATAAGAAACGGGCTTGCATAGAGCAGTAAGGCAATGTACAATGAACTGAAAAGTCTGATTCACTCCACTTTTTGTGACTGAGACTCACCTGACAAAAGATAGATGAATACACACTTCGTTCTCTCTTAGAGATAATTATAGTATAAAACTGGATACTAGATGAAAGGTTAGCCCATGGATGATGTAAATGGCAATTAAAAGTATTACTTTGTTTATGTACTACTCTCAGGGTGGTGGCCTTTAGCTATTCCATAATTTCATTGTATTGGAGAACGAGATCAGGTGAGAAATTATGAAGTTTGAAATAATCTCCTATGCTTCTTCGAGTTCCAGAGGGAGGAACAATGAAGAACACTTGGTTTGGGGACTGGAGAGATGGATCAGCAGTTAAAAGGACCCAGGTTCTATTCCCAGCATGCACATGGCAGCTAACAACCATTGTAACTCCAGTTTCAGGGGATCTGACACTGTCTTCTGACCTCCGTGTACATTGCATGACACAGGCGCACTTACACATTTGCAGGTGATACACTCATACACATAACATAAAAATAATAGATAAGATATTTAAAAAGAAGACCCGGCTCCTTTGTTTCATGCTATCATTCTTCTCAGCACATAAGTATTAAAGGTTGAATATAGGCATAATTTGAGTTCTGAAAGTCAAGGTCCCACCTTTGGTACTGTGTGATGAAATGAACCTAGTCATTCAAGAATATTTATTTCTTTATTTATTTTTGGTCTTTTTGAGACAGGGTCCCCCTGTTGCCTCACCTGGCCTAGGACTCATTATGTAGACCAGGCTGGCCTTGATCTCATACAGATCTGCCTGCCTCTGCCTCTTCCTCTGCCTCCTGAGTGCTGGGACTAAAGGTGTGTGCTAGCATGCCTGGCTCTCAAGAATATTTATTTGTGACGTTTCTCAAAGCTCATGGATTCTAGAGATGCTCATTTCATTATCCAGTTTCCAAAAGCCTTGGGAAAATGGATCTAAGGTCAAGCATTTTGCGCTTTATAGGGAGAAACCACAGAGAGAAAATTAGAGTGATTTCTTCAACATTGTATAGCAAATAACTGGCAGTTTGATCATCCAAATTTCCCATGTTCTCACAATATCATTATGGAGTGCCCAGGCTCCCCTGAAAGGCCTGTTATGCGGGACAATTATTATCATGATGAACCAAGGGTTTCTTACATTCACCAAGCATAATGGTACTGTATTGCACTGCTCACCAACCCCCCCCCCAAAACTACAAAGCTAAGAGAGACAAAAGAACCTCCTTAAACTCACTTAGCCAGTAAACAGAGACAGTGAAGATTTGAACACAGATCTGACTCCAGAGCCCAAGATTTTCACCTCTAGAGAGGTATTTATCTCTTTCTGTTCTTCAGTTTCTTCATTTGTACAATGATATAGTGAAAGAAATTATAACTGGAGCCTATTCTTCTTAATATAAATATCAATAATAAATAACCAAGTTGACTTCTAATTAATAATAGAACAAATGACTACCATATGTTAAGGGTTTCCTAGAAAACATCCAGTACTCACAAGTACCACCATCTTCATGCTACACATATGGACACTTGAAAGTTACTTGCCTAGCATAGATTCGGCTCTCAGTGTCCAAACCCTTTATTCCATAATCCATTTGTACCCTTCCTTCCTTTAAATAATAACAGTCACTACTTCATGAATGCCTAGTATGTGCCTGGCAGTAATGAGACAATATATATATCACCCTTTCTGCTCCTTCCAAACACAGGGAGAAATGGGAGCTAACTCTCCTTTTCTATCTCTGCTTGGCTTCTGTCCAGGGCTCCCTGCCCATGGGAGGAGTCACATATACATTCACTGAATTTTATTCTGACGCAGGATAGAAAAACATGGAAAATTAAGAGGACGTGGAAAAGAAAGAAGTCCCTCACCCAAGAGTCTGGTAAAAGTCTTTAGCCACCTGAGAGTAACAAATTCCACAGGTAAAAGATAACTCCCTTTAAGTTGATGGTCAGGGAGACCCCAGAAGCTGAAAAATAATGCAGCCTATTGTCATTGCTCCTGGTTACTCTCCAGAACTAGATGATAAGATTGCTGAAGACACCATATAGTTTTGCTACACTATGCAATGTAGCTCAGTTGGTAAATCAAGACAGAAGTTTCTAGATATCATAGTGCCAGAAGATGCTATATAGACTTCTAGGGGAGAAAAATCTTCAAGTCTTACTCAGCTGTGAACTCTTCAAGCTACAGTATCAAACTGCCAAGAAAGATGTGCCCATTGATGCAATAGCGGCATGACTGTTATGCAGATAACCAACCAATTTCTGATTGGATTTGAGTCCCCCACCAAAAGAGGGAATTCATGCCTGATACTATATACCTAATCAAAAGTTCATAGCTGAGAAGATCATACACTCTAGGAGAGAATCTACTACTATTGTTTTGCTAAATGGACTTGGTGTCAAACTGCCTTCTAAATATTTACGTTTACACCTATAGATTAGTGCTGCTCTTGGCCTGGGTTAGAGAAGCTTCTGTTTGTTGTGGGACATGGTTATACAGACAATCATATCTAGTCAAACTGCTGAAAATAAGTGACTCTTGAATGCTCAGCCCTAAACAGAACATCTATATCACCCCCTCCAAGGCTAAGGGAACATCAAGAAAGAAGGGGTGGAAAGAATGTAAGAGCCAGAGGATGGAAAAGAGTTCCATGAAATGCTCTCTTCTGAATGTGACTGTCTACTGCATCCATGAATGCACAGCAGTGGTGATTACCTGCACAAGACCTGCACAAGACTAGGCCCATCAACATTTATCACAAGTCCTCCCTTCCCTGGGTTCAAACCTCAGTACTGCATAAAACCAGATGTAGTGGTGCACACCTGAAATCCCAGTACTTAGGAGGTAGAGGCAGAACATCAGAAGGTCAAAGTCATCCTCAGCTACAAAGTGAGTGCAAGGCCAGCCTGGACTATATAACATCATATCTTTAAAAAAAAAGAAAAGTGGAAGAATTCTAGCACAGTTAAAATTTACTGGAAAGGTTGCCTACAGAGAGTCACTATCCCTTTTATATAGAGATGTTTCTAGGGAGAAAGTACAACAGGTGATGAGGATAGGGAACATGAAGTGAGCTGAAGGTGCTATTCTATATACTTACTGCCTCATGTTTTATGGCTGATTGCAAATGTCATGCTGGGTTATACAGCAAAATGGTTCTGAGCCTAAGTTCTACAATTAAAGACTTACATCTGGTTCTGCATTTTCTCATTGGAAAGCAATGTGACTCTAAAGAAATTATTTCTGCTCCCAGTTACCTTATCTATACAATATGGCTAATGTCCATTCACAGAAAGGATTAAATAAAATTAAATCAGGTGATCCATATCACAATGGCTGGTATAAAGAAAATGTTCCTGATTTGTTATTTGCCT